TATCTATCTATCTATCTATCTATCTATCTATCTATCTATCTATCTATTATATATATATATATTATATAAATGTATGTGTGTGTGTGTATATATATAAACACAAACACATAGCTTACTTGAAAATCTTTTCATCTACACAAATCTGTGGCATGCTTCACTTGACACAAACATAAAAAACAAACACAGACAATCAAAAGGAAATTATTTATCATAAGCGTGTGCAAATGGAGTGACCTGCCACAACAGAAAAAAAGGTATTTTTCCAATAAACTGAATGTTTAATAACTTGGTAGCTGTAGCAGCCCTGGGTGCTGCTGATGGTCTCCAGGGTAACGGAGATAACAGCCCAGTCATTTTCCATATCTTACAGTCTATTATATTCAAGGATTAGTTCTCCTTCCTGAAAAGGTCAAACATAAAGTCAAGCCAGCCAGGAGTGCCCCTCCTCCTCTCCTCCATTCCAACCACAATGACAGGGCAGTTCCAATAGTTTTTTTTTATTTTAGGTAAACTATTGTGATGACTTTAGTTGATACGCTTGCATGCAAACCTTTTACAAAATGCCAAAAAATAGATCAGTACATTTTTTAAAAGTATTTTCATCATCATCAGATTAATTCTGTCTGTGGTGAACATTGTTTCTGTTGATTTATTTCCTGTAAATGAGCACAATGTTTCACATGTTATTACAAATTAATTGATTCATCTAAAATCCTGACATCTTCATTTGAATTGTTCATTGACCCAAACTCTTCATCTTTTTTAATCAAGGACGTGGCCAACAGAAATTAAATATATAAAACGTCAATATTGGAATGCAGGAATGTGCAATATAGGTCAAGTTGCACAGATTCAAATAAAAGGTGTTTAGAGAAAACAGATTGGAGATTCATAACACATGATTTCAATTCAAAGTTCTCGCTGGATTTGGATAAGTGAGACACACTTTACTCAGAAGTTAATTAGGAATCTTTAAGGAAAGGTCATTTTGAAAAACCATTTTACTGTTAAAAGTTTGTCCTGTGCCTGATATTTGAGGACACACTCATGAGACTTGCAGGCAATTAGTCAAACATTTCAGGTTACATAGCTTACTTCATTGTTTTGTAAAATTTGTATCTCCAAAAGGCACAATTAGTGGATCTTTTAAAATATTGCTTTGAAGGAGTCTAGATGATGAGACAAAAACAACTGATGAAAGAATTGTTCCTCAAGATGTTCATTGATGAAAATGCAGTTTGGAGAGATGACATATTGGAGTAGAATGAAGCTGGTCATATTTTAAAGCCACAATTTTTGGAAATAGACAACAGAAAGCCTGTATTACTTTAAACTTTTGTAAAAAACAAAAAAAAACAAATTAGACTTTATGGATTCTTCAATGGTCAACAGACTATTTTAATTAAAGGAGTGAATGATGACATGATGTCATCTCGTTTTTCCGTCCTATAGCAGATGTTTAAGTCAGGGACTGTGAAATCCCTAAAAGAGGAACCTCTTTCTGAGTCAGAGACGGATTAAACAGATATATAGTGACACCTAGGGGCAAGGTGTTTTTTATCCTCATTCAAATGAAAGCAGCTGTCTTTTCTTTGAATTCATCTTCTCGTGTGTTTCTTCTGAAAATCTTTTAGGACTTGTAAGTTTGTACAGTCACAGATTTTCTAAAAAGCCAAAGTACAACTGGTTATGTTGAGATATAGCAATCTTACTGCATCTGAGGATCCAGGAACAAAGTTAGCCTCGTCAAGGAACATCATTCAAACACCAAATGAGGCAATGAGCTTTGAAATAATAATTTTCATCCAAGAGGTCAGATATTTGCAGGATCTAATGCTAGCAGCAAGTAAACTGTCAGCTTTGCCATAAGACCAATCCTCATGCATGCTTTGGGAATCAGCCAGTTTAAACCTTTTTCCAATATTATCTCCAAGCTATAAAGTTACTCAAACTGACCTATAACAGCCAGTTGGGATTTTGAAATGAAACACACAGTGATCAGCAACAACGTTCAGCAAAGAACCACACTGTAAGTGACAATATATTTTATGTTCTTCTGGAATTATCTTTAATCGTCCCTAAGTTTTCTTTCTTTTCTTTTTTTTTCTTTAAACTATTATTTTTCCTGCCACTGACGTATCAACTGACTACTTTCAGTATCTACCATGTCTTTCGAATGCCCCCACTTGATTTAATTCCTCGCTGGGTTTATTCTCGAGACTGATCTCTTCTGAGTCATTACGGGTCAGGGGTTCACGGCTTCACTTCCTGCCCAATGAGCAGCAGGAAGTGAGAGTTTACAACACCTTGTCGCTAACCACCTGTCAATCAATCTCTGTTTCACAGGAGCTGTCCGGGGAGTTGTAGAATTCTAAACAAATTTTTTTTTTTCCCGTCCTCAACCTATGAGGGTTCATCAAAAATTCTCATGACCAATACCTTATTTTGTCTTTGTAAGAATCCAGATCCAGTGTGCATACAGATGTGTGTGTGTGTGTGTGTGTGTGTGTGTGTGTGTGCGTGTGTGTGTGTGTGC